TATCACCCAGCAGTGTAGGCTAGATATCCCCCAGCATTTGCTAGGCTAGATATCACCAACATTTGCTAGGCTAGATATCACCCAGCGTGCTAGGCTAGATATCACCTAGCAGTGCTAGGCTAGATATCACCCAGCAGTGCTAGGGTAGATATCACCTAGCAGTGCTAGGCTAGATATCACCCAGCAGTGCTAGGCTAGTATTCCCCCGCAGTGCTAGGCTAGTTATCACCCAGCGTGCAGGCTAGAAATCACCTAGCAGTGCTAGGCTAGATATCACCTAACAGTGCTAGGCTAGATATCACCCAGCAGTGCTAGGCTAGATATCACCTAACAGTGCTAGGCTAGATATCACCTAGCAGTGCTAGGCTAGATATCACCTAGCAGTGCTAGGCTAGATATCACCCAGCAGTGCTAGGCTAGATATCCCCCACAGTGTAGGCTTAGATATCACCCAGCAGTGCTAGGCTATTTTATCCCCTAGCAGTGCTAGGCTAGATATCCCCCAGAGTGCTAGGCTAGATTTCACCTAGCAGTGCTAGGCTTAGATATCACCCAGCATTTGCTAGGCTAGATTCACCTAGCGTGCTAGGCTAGATATCACCCAGCGTGCTAGGCTAGATTTCACCCAGCAGTGCTAGGCTAGATATCCCCCAGGAGTGCTAGGCTAGATATCACCTAGCAGTGCTAGGCTAGATTACCTAGCGTGCTGGCTGATACCTAGCGTGCTAGGCTAGATATCACCCAGCAGTGACTAGGCTAGATATCACCTACAGTGCTAGGCTAGATATCCCCCAAAGCAGTGCTAGGCTAGATATCACCCAGCAGTGCTGGGTAGATATACCTAACGTGCTTTGCTAGATATCACCCAGCAGTGCTAGGCTAGATATCACCTAGCAGTGCTAGGCTAGAATATCACCCACCCGGGTGCTAGGCTAGATATCACCTAACAGTGCTAGGCTAGATATCACCTAGCAGTGCTAGGCTAGATATCACCTAGCAGTGCTAGGCTAGATATCACCCAGCAGTGCTAGGCTAGATATCACATGCAGTTCTAGGTTTAGATATCACCTAACAGTGCTAGGCTAGATATCACTAACAGTGCTAGGCAAAGATATCACCCCAAAGTGCTAGGCTAGATATCACCCAGCAGTGCTAGGCTAGATATCACCTAACAGTGCTAGGCTAGATATCACCTAGCAGTGCTAGGCTAGATATCACCTAACAGTTCTAGGCTAGATATCACCCTGCAGTGCTAGGCTAGATATCACCTAGCAGTGTAGGCTAGATATCACCCTAACAGTGTGGCTAGATATCACCAGCAGTGCTAGGCTAGATATCCCCTAGCAGTGCTAGGTAGATATACCCCAGCAGTGCTAGGCTAGAAATTCACCAAACAGTGTTAGGCTAGATATCACCTAGCGTGCTGGGCCCTAGATATAAACCTAGCAGTGCTAGGCTAGATATCCCCCAGCAGTGCTAGGCTAGATATCACCTAGCAGTTCTGGCTAGATACACAACAGGCTAGGCTAGATATCACCTAACAGTGTTTAGGCTAGATATCACCAAGCAGTGCTAGGTTTAGATACCCACCCAGCAGTGCTAGGCTGATATCACCTACAGTGCTAGGCTAGATATCACCTAACAGTGCTAGGCTAGATATCACTGCAGTGCTAGGCTAGATATACCTGCATGCTAGGCTAGATTCACCCAGCAGTGCTGGCTAGTATCACCAGCGTCCCCTTGGCTAGTATCCCCCTAGCAGTTAGGACTAGTATCACTAACAGTGCTAGGCTAGATATCACCTAACAGTGCTAGGCTAGATATCACCAGAAGTGTAGGCTAGATATCACCCAGCAGTGCTAGGCTAGATATCACCTAACAGTGCTAGGTAGATATCCCCCTAGCAGTGCTAGGCTAGATATCACTAACAGTTCTAGGCTAGATATCACCCAGCAGTGCTAGGCAGATATCACCTAGCAGTGATAGGCAAAGATTATCACCTAACAGTGCTGGGCCCTGATATCCCCCAAAGCAGTGCTAGGTAGTTTATCACCTAGCGGTGCTAGGCTAGATATCACCCAGCAGTGCTAGGTTGATATCACCTAACAGTGTTAGGCTAGATATCACCTAGCAGTGCTTGGCTAGATTCACCTAGCCAGTGCTAGGCTAGATATCACCACGCAGGCTAGGTGAAAATCACCTAGCATTTTCTAGGCTAGATATCACCTAACAGTGCTAGGCTAGATATCACCTAACAGTGCTAGGCTAGATATCACCCAGCAGTGCTAGGCTAGATATCACCAGCCAGTGCTAGGTAGATTTTCACCTAACAGTGCTAGGTAGATATCACCTAAAGTGCTGGGCCCTAGATATCACTAGCAGTGCTAGGCTAGATATCCCCTAGCAGTGCTAGGCTAGATATCACCCAGCAGTGCTAGGCTTATCACCTAGCAGGCTAGGCTAGATATCACCTAGCAGTGCTAGGCTAGATATCACCCAGCAGTGCTAGGCTAGATATCACCTAACAGTGCTAGGCTAGATATCACCCAGCAGTGCTAGGCTAGATATCACCCAGCAGTGCTAGGCTAGATATCACCTAGCAGTGCTAGGCTAGATATCACCTAACAGTGCTAGGCTAGATATCACCCAGCAGTGCTAGGCTAGATATCACCTAGCAGTGCTAGGCTAGATATCACCTAACAGTGCTAGGCTAGATATCACCCAGCAGTGCTAGGCTAGATATCACCTAGCAGTGCTAGGCTAGATATCACCTAGCAGTGCTAGGCTAGATATCACCCAGCAGTGCTAGGCTAGATATCACCCAGCAGTGCTAGGTTTAGATATCACCCAGCAGTGCTAGGCTAGATATCACCCAGCAGTGCTAGGCTAGATATCACCCAGCAGTGCTAGGCTAGATATCATCCAGCAGTTCTAGGCTAGATATTACCCAACAGTTCTAGGCTAGATATCACCTAGCAGTGCTAGGCTAGATATCACCTAACAGTGCTAGGCTAGATATCACCCAGCAGGGGCTAGGTTTAGATATCCCCTTAGCAGTGCTAGGCTAGATATCACCCAGCAGTGCTAGGCTAGATATCACCTAACAGTGCTGGGGCTAGATATCACCCCAGCGTGCTAGGCTAGATATCCCCTAGAAAGTGTAGGTAGATATCACCCAGCGTGCTAGGCTAGATATCATCCAGCAGTTCTGGGCCCTAGATATTACCAAAAACGTTCTAGGCTAGATATCACCCAGCAGTGCTAGGCTAGATATCCCCCAGACATTTGCTAGGCTAGATATAAACCGCAGTGCTAGGCTTAGATATCACCTAACGTGCTAGGCTAGATATCACCCAGCAGTGCTAGGCTAGATATCACCTAGCAGTGCTAGGCTAGATATCACCCAGCAGTGCTAGGCTAGATATCATCCAGCAGTTCTAGGCTAGATATTACCCAACAGTTCTAGGCTAGATATCACCCAGCAGTGCTAGGCTAGATATCACCCAGCAGTGCTAGGCTAGATATCATCCAGCAGTTCTAGGCTAGATATTACCCAACAGTTCTAGGCTAGATATCACCCAGCAGTGCTAGGCTAGATATCACCCAGCAGTGCTAGGCTAGATATCACCCAGCAGTGCTAGGCTAGATATCATCCAGCAGTTCTAGGCTAGATATCACCCAGCAGTGCTAGGCTAGATATCACCTAGCAGTTCTAGGCTAGATATCACCTAGCAGTGCTAGGCTAGATATGAACTTGGAATTTTACAGTACAGACAGGCCCCCGCTGTAACAGCGCTTCGCTCCTACAGCGGTTTTCAATTATACCTATTCTTCATTTATTCGGACTTCCTACAATAAATATATTGACCACTCCCTATAAGCTAAGGGCGAAAATATTTTAAGGTAATGTGTGTACTGTATGTGTATTTTTTTTAGGCCTAGCTCCATTGCTCACTTAATATATGATAGTGTAAATATGTTATCAGACTTTTATACGTATTTGAAAGCTAAAAAAAAGGTTATGTTTCACTTTACAGCAATTTTAGCTTGACAGCAGTAACCTGGAACCTAATCTGCTGTATAAGTGAGGCACTACAGTAGCCTGGAACCTAACCTGCTGTATAAGTGAGGCACTACAGTAGCCTGGAACCTAACCTGCTGTATACGTGGGGCCCTACAGTAGCCTGGAACCTAACCTGCTGTATACGTGGGGCCCTACAGTAGCCTGGAACCTAACCTGCTGTATAGTGGTGGCCCATACAGTAGCCTGGAACCTAACATGCTGTATACGTGGAGCCCTACAGTAGACCTGGAACTAACCTGCTGATAAGTGGGGCCTACAGTAGCTGGAACTAATCTGCTGTATAAGTGGGGGCCTACAGTAGCCTGGAACCTAATCTGCTGTATAAGTGAGGCCACTACAGTAGCACTGGAACCTAACTGCTGTATAAGTGGGGCCCTACAGTAGCCTGGAACCTAATCTGCTGTATACGTGGGCCCTACAGTAGCTGGAACCTAAATGCTGTATAGTGGGTCCTACAGAAGCTGGACCTACCTGCTGTATAGTGGGGCCCTACGTAGCTGGAACTAATCTGCTGTATAGTGAGGCACTACGTAGCCTGGAACCTAACCTGCTGTATAAGTGGGGCCCTACAGTAGCCTGGAACCTAATCTGCTGTATAAGTGAGGCACTACAGTAGCCTGGAACCTAACCTGCTGTATAAGTGGGGCCCTACAGTAGCCTGGAACCTAACCTGCTGTATAAGTGGGGCCCTACAGTAGCCTGGAACCTAACCTGCTGTATAAGTGGGGCCCTACAGTAGCCTGGAACCTAATCTGCTGTATAAGTGGGGCCCTACAGAAGCCTGGAACCTAACCTGCTGTATAAGTGGTGCCCTACAGTAGCCTGGAACCTAACCTGCTGTATAAGTGGGGCCCTACAGTAGCCTGGAACCTAACCTGCTGTATAAACGGGGCCCTACAGTATCCCGGAACCTAACCTGTTGTATAAGCGAGGCCCTTCTGTATTATACCGAGAGGAGTACAGACTTACAGGTTGTTTATTTATCGTGAAGGCGAGGATAGGTGGCGGCTTCGATCTGAGGGAGATACATGTTATATCAACCCAGCTTCCTGGCGGGTAGTAGCTCCTGACTCCCTTAATCGCTGGTTCCTCGTCTGGCAGGTCTGTGTCAGAGATGAGAGAGTGAGAGGAATTCACTCAGCTGTACATCACAAACCATATTCTGTAACTTGTACATCGTGATGAGGTAATATCTCACAAAATGGTCAACGAAACTATTCAGGTAGTAGGATGGTAGGTATTAAGCATTCAGGGAAGTACTATCCCCTTTCCTAAATTGTGAAACTGAAGCCTGTTAAATGTTATGCACTCTGGCAGGATTTCTGATCTTTTCTGTCTCTAAACACCTAAGATGACAAGTAAATCTTACACATTTCTCTCTATATTCAGTATGCAAGCGCCTTTACTTTCCTACATGCTTCTTAATAATTCTTAAGCTTGTAATGCTTGCCACCCTAGGAGGCTTGTTCTCAGACAGTCTCTCGGGGGGAGAGATAATCCTCAGACACGCTTACAGATGTCTAAGTAAATCATGAGACCTGAGACACCTGCTGCACACCTCCTCACACCTGTCAGACATTATATAAATTAATTTCACAACCCTGATGACACCTTTCTGTTTCTCTGTCTCTCTGTCTCTCTGTCTCTCTGTCTCTCTGTCTCTGTCTGTCTGTCTGTCTGTCTCTCTCTCTCTCTCTCTCTCTCTCTCTCTCTTCGTTCACCATCTGTCTCACTCACAAAGGCACTTCTGTTAACGCTAGAAAAGTTATAATGGGAGAGAATTGTGGTGGTAGTTGTAGTTGTTGTTGTTGTTGTTGTAGTTGTTGTAATTGTAGTTGTTGTTGCTGCTGTTGTTATTGTAGTCGTAGTTGTTGTTGTTGTCGTTGTAACAGTAGTAGTATTTATTGTTGCTGTGAGATGCCTTAACTGTTCTCTCCCTCCGACCTCTTTCATCCCACGTTCCTCAGAGATGCTCTCTGATCCACACCTACCTCCGCAGCATCCTTGGCACCTGGCCACATCCTTGCCCCTGGGCACATTTCTGGCACTTGGGGCACATCCCCAGTACCTGGGGGCATACTTGAAGCACTTACCCACGACGGTGAGAGAGGCTGAATCAGAGGCGGTGTGGAAGGTAGGCCCGTCTGCTGACACCTCACAGTGGAAAGGACCCTCAGCTGCTAGACTGACGTTCGTTATCCGCACACTGCCACCCCATGACTTCTCTAGCTGTGGGGAGACCCGTGAATACTGTGAGAATAACCCACACACATCGTGGCAATAACATGAACTCTGTGGGAATAATATACACACTCTGGGAATAACACATACACACACACACACACACACACACACACACACACAACACACACACACACACACACACACACACACACACACACACACACACACACACACACACACACCAGGAGCCAGGGGCCAGGAGCTAGGACTCGACCCCTGCAACCACAAATAGGTGAGTACACACAACACGCACACGGGAGCTGTGAATAGGCCCCTGCAACTACATATAGGTGAGTACACACACACATGATTCTCTCTCTCTCTCAACTCAACGTAAAGAAAGGCCGCTCTGATGTAAGGAGGTAGGTAGGTATGTAGGTAGGTAGAGTAGTAGGGAGGGAGGGAGGGAAGAAGGGAGATAATCCTCCATTCTTGCAGGGAATAATCCCCATCCCTGTCCACCGTTTTTCCCTAAACCGTCCCTATATTTTCCCTCCCTCCTCTCTATCATATTTGCCCTGCATCCCATATCTTCATTCATTCCTCATGTTTTCCTATATGCATTACCCATTAATCTTCCATTCTCATCTGACTGGTCAGAGACCACACGGACGAATGGACGGAGGATCGAGTATTGAGATTTTCGTAACCCATTAATGATCCATCTTTCCTATTTCCTCGTCACTCCTTTCCCCTCCGCCCACATCTCTTCCCATTCCATTTACCCCATTATTTCAGCCCCTCCTCTTAATAACATACAATATGCCACTAATGCTAACACAGTCAAATGGGTGACTGTTAAACGAGGCTTAAACAGTGATTATCTGAGACAGAAAGTTCTACTGCGCTGGGTGGCTCCCAGTTCTGTATTCACGGACCAGAACTTCTTATCAACGTTGTGGTACGTTAAATCTGGTTAATTTTTAATCTAATCTAACTGACTCTAACCCGAACTAACTCAACCTAACCTAACGTTATGATTAAAATGGTTATTTTTTTAATCTAACTTCTAACCCAGCTTAACCTAGGCAGCAAAAACTGAGGTCATTTATTGGTGTACTCACATCAACATCGAGGGTGGGAAGAGGAAAGACCTGGATGGGGTTCCTGAAGGTGGGGGTGTAGCGGTAGAACTCATGAGCTCCCTGGTACCACTTGATGGAGTACATGTGATCTGTGTCCTCCTCCCACGAGCAGTCCAGGTCACCGTTTCCTCCCACCTCCAGCATGGCAGGTACTGATACCCTGGTGATCTTGATACCTCTCAACCCTGGCGGAGAGATGCAGAGAGATGGAGGTGAGTGTGGGAGACTTCAGTTATGACAGAGAGAGAGAGAGAGAGAGAGAGAGAGAGAGAGAGAGAGAGAGAGAGACTTCAGTTATGAGAGAGAGAGAGAGAGAGAGAGAGAGAGAGAGAGAGAGAGAGAGAGAGATGGAGAACTAACAAGGAGAGGCAGGTGCAAATGAACGTTCCAGGGGTCTAAAAAAATGGTAGGGGAGTCGAACGTGTAGCCTAATGCTTGCCAGGCATATCCACACACAACAACACTTCCATTCCTCATGTTTACACGTCACATTGAAGTGTAAACATGACGTGTAACAAATTCACCCGTTCCTTCCGAAAACTCAACCTCCCATAACCTCTTTCACGACCTCCTGACAACACTCACCAGGAAGTTCCCTGCACCCACTTCTCCCACCTCCAGTATCCTTCTGCAGGGTAATCTTCCTCTTCCTTCTTAGATTATCCCCCTCCTCCTTCAGCCTCCTCCTCTCCCAGCCTCCTCCTCCAACACTGGAAGTATTACATGTCAGTTAACTGACAATGCCAGTTAAATTTTTATTAAATGAAGTTAAATACAAACTGCGTGAAAAGTTTTCAGTGTGTGGTGAAATTTTTGATGCACATTTAAAAGTGGTTTTGACGGGGTGGGTGGGAAGGCTGGTTGACGGGGTGGGTGGGAAGGCTGGTTGACGGGTTGGGTGGGAAGGCTGGTTGACGGGGTGGGTGGGAAGGCTGGTTGACGGGGTGGGTGGGAAGGCTGGTTGACGGGGTGGGTGGGAAGGCTGGTTGACGGGGTGGGTGGGAAGGCTGGTTGACGGGTGGGTGGGAAAGGCTGGTTGACGGGGGGGTGGGAAGGCTGGTTGACGGGGTGGGTGGGAAGGCTGGTTGACGGGTGGGTGGGAAGGTGGTTGCGGGGTGGGTGGGAAGGCTGGTTGACGGGTGGGGGGAAGGCTGGTTGACGGGGTGGGTGGGAAGGTTTGGTTGACGGGGTGGGTGGGGAAGGCTGGTTGACGGGGTGGGTGGGAGGCTGGTTTGACGGGGGGGGGGAAGGCTTGTTGGCAGGGTGGGTGGAAGGCTGGTTGGCAGGGTGGGTGGGAAGGCTGGTTGGCAGGGTGGGGGGAAGGCTGGTTGACGGGGGGGTGGGAAGGCTGGTTGAGGGGGTGGGTGGGAAGGCTGGTTGACGGGGTGGGTGGGAAGGCTGGTTGACGGGGTGGGTGGAAAGGCTGGTTGGACGGGGTTGGGGGAAGGCTTGTTGGCAGGGTGGGTGGGAAGGCTGGGTGGCAGGGTGGGTGGGAAGGCTGGTTGGCAGGGTGGTGGGAAGGCTGGTTGAAGGGGTGGGTGGGAAGGCTGGTTGACGGGGTGGTGGGAAGGCTGGTTGACGGGGGGGTGGGAAAGGGTGTGAACGGGTGGGTGGAAGGCTGGTTGACGGGGGGTAGGAAGCTGGTTGACGGGGTGGTAGGAAGGCTGGTTAAGGGTGGGGAAGCGGGTTGGCAGGTGGGTGGAAAGCTGTTGCAGGTGGGGGGAAGCTGGTTGGCAGGTGGTGGGAAGGCTGGTTGAAGGGGTGGAGGGGAAGGCGTTGACGGGTAGGGGGGAAGCTGTTGACGGGTGGTGGGAAGGCTGTTGAGGGGTGGGTGGGAAGCTTTTTGGGGTGGTGGGAAGGCTGTTACGGGGGTGGGAAAGGCTGGTTGACGGGGCGGGTGGAAGGGCTGGTTTGACGGGGGGTAGGAAGGCGGTTGCTGGGTGTAGGAAGCTGGTTGACGGGTGGGTGGGAAGGCTGTTGAGGGGGTGGGTAGAAGGCTGGTTGGCAGGGTGGGTGGAAGGCTGGTTGACGGGTGGTAGGAAGGTGGTGAAGGGTGGGTGGAAGGCTGGTTGACGGGGTGGGTGGAAGGCTGGTTGACGGGGGGGTAGGGGGCGGGGTTGCAGGGTGGGGGAAGGCTGGTTGAAGGGTGGGTAGAAGGCTGGTTGAAGGGGTGGGTAGGAAGGCTGGTTGACGGGGCAGGTGGAACGGTGGCTAGGGGATTAAGTTACTTCTAAAGGTGGGATAAGTGACCCCTACACTGGAATTTTAAGTTTCATCAACCATAAATTTTTTCAACAATAAAACCTTTCTAAAAACTCCCAAATAAAACCACAAACTTTTTAATTAAACTAAAAATATTTTAAAAACTTCATAAAATAACCTAATCGCAAATTTAATAAATTTTAGTGACTTTTTACATAAATGGGGTGGACCGGTAAGCCAGGGAAAGGGCCTCGGTCAGATTGTCCAAAGTGATGGTTTGGTTGAGAGAATGTTGATTATTTTGAGGTGTAAGGATTGAGGGTGGGTTGTGTACTGCACCTGATTTTACATTAGGTGTGAGGGTAAGAGGTGGGGTGGGTTTTGTACAGTTCCCTGGGGTTTACAAATTTGAGTGTAAGAGGTGAAGGTGGGTTGTGTACGCTACCGAGGTTACATTGTTGATGTAAGAGGTGAAGGGGGGGTTTTGTACTGTTACCTGAGGTTTACTTTAGTTGAGGGGTAGAGGTGAGGGGGTTGTGACTGTTACCTGAGGTTAATTGTGGGTGTAGAGTTGAGGGGGGTTGTGTACTGCTACCTGAGGACATTAGGAGTGTAAGAGGTGAGGTGGGTTGGGGTTTACTGTACCTGGGGTTACATTAGTTGAGTGAAAGAGGTGAGGGTGGGTTTGTACTGCCACCGAGGTTACATTAGTTGAGGTAGGGGAAATGGTGGGTTTTTTACTGTTACCTTATGTTACTTTTATTTGAGTGTAAGAAGTGGTGGGTTGTGTACTGTTACCTGAGGTTACATTAGTTGAGTGTAAGAGGTGAAGGGGGTTGTTGTTACTGCTACCTGAGGTTACATTAGTTGAGTGTAAGAGATGAAGGTGGGTTGTTGTACTGCTCCCTGAGGTTACTTAGTTGAGTGTAAGGGGGTGAGGGTGGGTTGTGTACTGTTACCTGGGGTTTAAACATTAGTTGAGTGTAAGAGGTGAAGGTGGGTTGTGTACTGCTACCTGAGGTTACTTTAGTTGAGTGTTAAGAGGTGAAGGGGGGTTTTTGTGTACTGCTACCTGAGGTTACATTAGTTGAGTGAAAGAGATGAGGGTGGGTTGTTTTACTGCTACCTGACGTTACTTTAGTTGAGTGTAAGAGGTGAAGGTGGGTTGTGTACTGCTACCTGAGGTTACATTAGTTGAGTGTAAGAGGTGAAGGTGGGTTGTGTACTGCTACCTGAGGTTACATTAGTTGAGCGTAAGAGATGAGGGTGGGTTGTGTACTGCTACCTGAGGTTACATTAGTTGAGTGTAAGGTTGAGAGTGGGTTGTGTACTGCTACCTGGGGTTTACATTAGTTGATGTAAGAGTTGAGGGTGGGTTGTGTACTGTTACCTGAGGTTACATTAGTTGAGTGTAAGAGTTGAGAGTGGGTTGTGTACTGCTACCTGAGGTTACATTAGTTGAGTGTAAGAGTTGAGGGTGGGTTGTGTACTGCTACCTGAGGTTACATTAGTTGAGTGTAAGAGGTGAGGGTGGGTTGTGTACTGCTACCTGAGGTTACATTAGTTGAGTGTAAGAGGTGAGAGTGGGTTGTGTACTGCTACCCGAGGTTACATTAGTTGAGTGTAAGAGTTGAGGGTGGTTGTTTTAACGCTAACTGAGGTTACATTAGTTGAGTAAAGAGGTGAGGGTGGGTTGTGTACTGCAACCTGAGGTTCCCATTAGTTGAGTGTAAGAGGTGAGGGTGGGTTGTGTACTGCTACCTGAGGTTACATTAGTTGAGTGTAAGAGGTGAGGGTGGGTTGTGTACTGCTACCTGAGGTTACATTAGTTGAGTGTAAGAGGTGAAGGTGGGTTGTGTACTGCTACCTGAGGTTACATTAGATGAGGGGAAGAGTTGAGGGTGGTTGTGTACTGCTACCTGAGGTTACATTAGTTGAGTGAAAGAGTTGAGGGTGGGTTGTGTACTGCTACCTGAGGTTACTTTAGATGAGTGAAAAGAGGTGAGGGGGGGTTGTGTACTGCTACACTGGGGTTACATTAGTTGAGTGTAAGAGGTGAGGGTGGGTTGTGTACTGTTACCTGAGGTTACATTATTTGGTTTAGAGGTGAGGGGGGGTTGTTTTACTTTTACCTGAGGTTACATTAGTTGAGTGTAAGAGGTGAGGGTGGGTTGTGTACTGCTACCTGAGGTTACATTAGTTGAGTGTAAGAGGTGAGGGTGGGTTGTGTACTGCTACCTGAGGTTACATTAGTTGATGTAAGAGTGAGGGTGGGTTGTGTACTGCACCGAGGTTACATTAGGTGAGTGGTAAGAGGTGAGGGTGGGTTGTGACTGTTACCTGAGGTTACTTTTGTTGAGTGTAAGAGGTGGGGGTGGGTTGTGTACTGCTACCTGAGGTTACATTAGTTGAGTGTAAGAGGTGAGGGTGGGTTGTGTACTGTTACCTGAGGTTACATTAGTTGAGTGTAAGAGATGAGGGTGGGTTGTGTACTGCTACCTGAGGTTACATTAGATGAGTGTAAGAGTTGAGAGTGGGTTGTGTACTGCTACCTGAGGTTACATTAGTTGAGTGTAAGAGATGAGGGTGGGTCGCGTACTGTTACCTGAGATTACATTAGTTGAGTGTAAGAGGTGAAGGTGGGTTGTGTACTGCTACCTGAGGTTACATTAGTTGAGTGTAAGAGGTGAAGGTGGGTTGTGTACTGTTACCTGAGGTTACATTAGTTGAGTGTAAGAGGTGAGGGTGGGTTGTGTACTGCTACCTGAGGTTACATTAGTTGAGTGTAAGAGATAGGGTGGGTTGTGTACCCCACCTGAGGTTACATTAGTTGAGTGTAAGAGGAGAAGGTGGGTTGTGTTACTGAAACCTGGAGGTACATTAGTTGAGTATAAGAAAAGAGGGTGAGTTGTGTACTTGTACCTGGGTTACATTAGTTGAGTGTAAGAGGTGAGGGTGGGTTGGGTGTACTGCTACCTGGGTT